TTGCCTGTTCCTTGGTCTCCTTTCCCCTCCACCCAGCTACGTGTGGCAGGCACACTCCAAAGGTCAGAAAAATCAATCAGATGGCTGTACAGAGATGACATTTGGCTTGTAAAAGACACTCTGGGGGTTGATTTACTAAAGGCAAATAGACTGTGCACTTTGCAAATGCAGTTGCACTAATTTTCCTCAGAGCTTAGTGAAAATGATGAAGCTTCATTTCATAAAGAATACTCAAAGAGGTGCAAGGAATAAAAAAAAATTAATAAAAAAAAAACCTGGATTTTTGCTTGTTGATTAATGGAAATAAGCAGAGATTCACTACATTCACTACAGGCAACTGCACTTGCAAAGTGCATAGTCTATTTACCTTTAATAAATCAACCTGCCTGTGTGTGTAAACCCCCCACTACCACCAATGTAATCCTTTAAGCTTGGTAGAAATTTTGACTAGTCCCTGCATGTCATAGACGTCTTCTCTTCTGGAAGTGTCTGTGTTGAACCAGTGTTGAACAGCTCTTCAACCCCTCCCTTCACCTCCCTACATAAAATGTAACTGCTTGCCACCCACCCACAGTACATTTACTGCAGGTGGGCGGCACATCCAGGCTGGATCACATACATGTACGTGATACAGCTTCTTCCCGGGTTCAGACACTCATTCTCAAGTACCCTGCTGACCCGTGCTGTCACTGGCTAGAGTGTGAGTTTGTCAGCAGGTCCCAGCCAATAATTAAATGGCTGAGACCTCCTTATCGGCTGTAGCTAATCACAGCACAGAGTCCTGTGTTTACAAACACACAGAGCTCTATACACAGATCAGCAATTTGGCTGTTTCTTCTACCTGCAAAGAATACAAACAAATTAATGCACATGCATTGTTTTTTTTTAATTGCAAAAACATGTAGCAGAATATAGTTTGGTCTAAATTTATGAAGAAATTGATTTTTTTTTTTTTTATTTATTGGATATGTTTTACAACATGTCTTTTTTGTTTATATATATATTTTTTAAACCCAGTGGTGATCAAATGCCACAAAAGGAAGCTCTAATTGTATGCAAAAATTATGTAAATTTAATTTGGTTACAATATTGCATCACCAAGCAATTGGCAATTAAAGTACCTCAGTGCTGAATAGCCAAAAAATTCCCTGGTCATGAAGGGGGTAAAACCTTCCAGAAGCATAGTGGTTAATGTAGTCTCTCTGCTCACTGCACACACTAATTTTCTTCACTGACCAGCTAAACACAATGGGGGTGGGATATTACATCATGACTGATGGAGGCTTCACCTCCCTGCTATTCTAAAACACAAGCTGGAGGTCGTGATACAGCCTGTGACTGGCTGCATAGCAGATCCATACAAAGCAGTGTGCTTACAGTGGAAAGCACACACACACAGCATACTGTGAAACAGCACACAGTTAACCCTTTGATCACCCCAGATGTGCCATTAGTTCAGGGTCAGTGCTTTTTATTAGCTCTGATCACTGTATTGGTGTCACTGGGGATGTCATTGACACCAAGTCAATTCCCCCCAGTGTCAGAATGCCTGCCATAGTCCTACAGTCCTGCTATAAGTCGCTGATCGCCGCCATCACTACTGAAAAAAAAAAATTCCAGTATATATACCGCCAGTTGTAAACGATATAACTTTCATGTAAACCAATTAATTTCCACGTATTGGGATTTCTTTTAGCCAAGACATGTAGCAGATTACATTTTGCCCATATTTTTTTAATTGCAAAATGTCAAAAATATTGTTTTTTTCTCAAAATTGTCAGTCTTTTTTTGTTTATAGCGCAAAAAATAAAAAACGCACGGCGATCAAATACCACCGAAGAAAGCTCTATTTGTGAGAAAAAGGACGTAAATTTCATTTGTGTGCAGCTTTGCATGACCGTGCAATTGTCAGTTAAAGTAATGCAGCGCCGTAACACAAAAAATAGCCTGGTCAGGAAGGGGGGTAAATCCTCTGGAGGGCAAGTGGTTAAAATTATTACAGAGCCATCATCCACATACAGAAAGAGAAGGGACAATGTAAATGAAACAGTGTGTGTTTAGCCCTGGTTCACACTGGATGAACTTGGCTGGCATTGCAATTGGCATGCCCTGCAACTTGCAAATCGCATGCCAATTTGCACCCTATTGTCCGCAATTTGAGCGGTCATATCGGTGTGGTTCTGACTTGGTCAGAGCCGCACCGATTTCAAAAGTAGTACATGCACTACGTTTGGTACGATTTGCATAGACATCTGTGTCAGATGTCTTGCAAATCGCACCTGAAATCGGTGGGTCCCCCAACTTTGAAATCATGCGACTTCACTATAAGTTGCACGATTTCAAAGTTGGGCTTGATGTTGAACGTAGGGTTAGTATCACTTTAACCTCTTCACACTGGCCAAACGCAAATGTGCGGCCTCCCGGCGTCTGGGCCTAGACGCCGAGCGGCCGCACATTTGCGTTCTATTAAAAAAAAGAACATATGTGCTGAGAGCACGCGCCGTGCGTACTCCCAGCACACATGTCCGGTACTCATGGAAAGGTCCCGATCTCCTCTTTTGATCGGGACCCTTTCTCGATCATGTGACCGCCGTGATGGCATGTCATGGTGGTCACATGACCCTAAACCCTGCCTCACCTCCCGGCTTCTGAAACCCTTGAAGGGCAGGGAGGTGCCTGCGTGAAGGGGTTAAGCAGCACCACATCCCTACTTAGATCAAAAAGACAAAAGCAGTTTGGGGACTTTAAAAGTCCGAAATAAATGTTTTTGGCTCTTTTTTGTCTCTTAGAACCCTAGCAATATCTTTGATTACCAGAAGTTTATGATTTTCTTTTATGCCGCAGGCTAGTTTGGTGTACTCAGGCAAAGCCAGGATGAAGCAGAAGTATTGAAAAGGTAGCCTTTGTCCCTTGCATGTATTTCTCTGCTACATTTTCTAGTTAGCCTGGAGTGCGCCTTTAGGCAGTATCCTTGTACTATGGTAGATAAGTGGTGTACAGTAATATTTTACATTGAACCATCACTGCATGTTGAGCAGCTGAAGGAAAACTATAAAGAGAAGGAAGATGATGCCATATCAGGTCAGTAACGTGCACACACCGATCCAGGATCCCCACCCTGCATTGCTGCAATAGAGGCTGGGAGCAGAAAGCTGCAGTTTGAGCAGTGTTGAGTCATCGGCTCTCCCAAAGGACACAGGAGCATATTTCACTTCCTTCACTGCATTGGCAGACACGTGGCTGCTTTCTGCGGGAGGCATGAAAAACAGCTCTGCAATTTTCCTCCTAAGAGGTTCAATTATAAACCAAACACTTTCAAGATTCTTCTACCTCCAAGATGTACTTCATAAGGCGATAGGGGAGATGGGGGTGGCTGCCAATTCACCTGACAGCTCTCTATAGCTTTCAATTAGCACTCTTTATCATTTCACCGCAGTCATTTAATGGAGGAGCTGAGGGCAGTATTGTTTCAAGGTATGAAGCGATACAGACCTCTGATACAGTAACATACAATTAATTGACAAGTGGTCTGCAGTCATCTTTTTAAAGTGGTATTAAACCCCAAACTAAAATTGTAATTTATTGCAGCTTACCAATCATTAGATATGGTGGTTGCATTAGTTTTCTGATTTTAGACTTTTTTTTGTTCCGTTTTCTCCTGCTGATCTGTCCAGTACACACCTCCTGTATTAGGGTGCCTCCACTCTAGATGGAGGAGAACAGGGGGGCACTTGTGGACAGTACCCACATGAAAGAAAAATATATTTGAAATATATTTAAAAAATATTCTTCCCAAATATATTGACATATATTTGAACTACTACAATTTTGGCCATATTCATATATTCAATATATATATATATATATATATACACACACACACACACATATATACTGTATTTTGACATGCATTTTTTTATATATTACAAAATATATGAAAATTATTTTTAAAAATATATATTTTTTAAATATATTCTTCAGTTTTTTTTAACATATAAAAAAGTCATTTTAACATATTCTTACCTATATTTGTAAATGCATTCCAAATATATAGATTAAATGTATTTTTAAAGACATACAGTATACTTGAAAATGTATTTTTAAAACTATTTTGCTTATATTTTGTAATATATAAAAAACGCATTTCAACATACAGTGTGTGTATATATATATATAGTTTATTTTTTTTTATATGTAATGAATACAGACACAATTGTAGTATTTCAAATACATGTCAATATATTTGGGAAGACTATTTTAAAAATATATTTTTCTTCCATGTGGGCAGCATTGTCAATCTGATGGGAGGGGAGTGTTAGATGTAGTAGTAGATTTAAATACACTAACAAATTGAAGCCAAAATCAAGCTCACACTTTATAAGCAGTTACAGCAACTGTTTTTTCATTTAGAAAAAGAAGCACACAGGTGGCGCAAACACCTAGCGCATTATCCAAGATTGATTAAAAATGTAGAAACTGAAAACATACTCACAAAATGAGGTGCATATACAGTAAAGGCCTATAAAACTACTAGGTTGGCCCAACATGATGGCAGAGTGTACAACTGGTGGTGAGGTCGGCCTGCTGATGCGTTTGAGGGACGTGTCCCCTTCCTCAGAGCTTTGATCTCCCAGTCAGAGGAAGGCAGCATCACCAAGACTTTACTCCAAGGCTACTAACAGATCTGATTCCCTGGTTTCTTCCTGGTATTGACCCCTTTGAGGCGCTGTAGAGGTAGTGCTTTTTCATTTGGGGCTAAAAGTTTTACCTAAATGAATAAAAACTGCATTTGTAAGCATTTAAGCACCCCTGTAAGTGACAAATGGTTTGTCTCAAAGCTCTAACTGCTACACCTGCAGCTTGTTCTGTTGAAAAATAACAGACTTAGGGTGGCCATACACTATACAATTTTCTGTCCAATTTCTGCCCAATTTCCTTTAGATTTACCTTCAACTGTGTAGTGCAAGAGCCTGCCTAATTGGATACAATTGAAAGTGTTGTTACGTTTGACCTCCTAGTATATGGTTTTTGGTAAATCTAAAGCAAAAATCTCAAGAAAATTGTATAATGTATGGCCAGCCTTAGGCTGGTCATACACCAGGGGCGGACTGACCATTTGGAAACTCGGGCACTGCCTGAGGGCCCGGGGTCAGTAGGGGGCCCCATGAGATGCCCCGGTACCTTTTTCATAGGCTTTTTTGAGTTTGGGCAAGGACATAGGGACCCCATGATCCCCTATTGCCCGGGGGCCCCATGAGTTGTCAGTCCGCCCCTGTCATACACTATAAATTTTCTTACAATTTTCTTACAATTTCTGCCCACTTTCCTTTAAATTTACTATGTAGTGCAAGGGCCTGCCTAATTGGATACAATTGAAAATGTTGTTTAGGTTTGACCTCATATTACATGATTTGTGGTAAATCTAAAGAAAAAATTCTCAAGAAAATTGTATAATGTATGGCCAGCTTAATGCCCTGTACATATGATAAGAAAATTGTATGAAAAATTTTGCGGAACCACTGATCGAACGATTTTCTCTTCGTTGATAAGCAGGATGTTTTTTTAACCGATACCGATAATGTGAATGAAAAAATCAGGTTGAAGAACAGTAAAAAATGTTGTTTCACATACGAACAACCGATTTTCTATGCGGTGGTATGACGGTCGTACGAAAAAAATCTATCAAGCACTATCACACATGAGCGGAAACAGAAGATGACCCGGATGTTTATGTCCAAAGATCTTCGTAAACACGAATGAAAAATCCAAATGTTAAAGTAGATTGGCCTAATGAGATAATGAAACCAGAATGATGCATATTATATTTTTATGTATCACTATTTATGTATATAGTTAATGTAATAAACTATATTATACTCATTGCTGTTAATTGTTGTGTATATCGCTCGTTCTGGACGGAAGGGCATGGCTACAAGGTCACACGCACAACGCATCACTTCCACTTGTACAGAAGACGTCAACACTACATATTGCCCGATGAACAATTTTTTTAGATTGGTTAATGTGGGCCACGATTTCATCCAATGAACGAACGCCTCTCGGTCGTTGGATGACCAATCGATCGATTTTCTAATTGTGTATTCCCACCTTTACTGGTTGGATCACCAAGTGAAAATAATAGAAAGAAAGCCTAAAAAACTAATATGGCCACCACATCTAAGAATTGGTAAGCTGCAATATAATATACAGTATATTTGCTTTTGAGTTTATTACCACTTTAACGCTGAAGCCCAGCTATAACCTTCATTGTATACTTATACTGGTTCAGCTTGGACCATGTAAGTATAAATATCTCATAACAGGGGGCTGCTGGAAAAGCTGGCAATCACTGTAGTAGTTAGCACCAGGGGCAGACTGACCATTTGGAAACTCGGGCACTGCCCGAGGGCCCGGGGACAGTAGGGGGCCCCATGAGATGCCCCTGGTACCTTTTCCATAGACTTTTTTGAGTTTGGGCAAGGACACAAGGGCCCCATGATCCCCTATTGCCCAGGGGCCCACGGCCCCATGAGTTGTCAGTCCGCCCCTGGTTAGCGCTACTATAGTGATAGCCACAATTTTGTGGGGTTTGTGTTGAGCAGCCTCCCCTTTGCACACTGACCACAAAAGGTCACTTGCTCATCACTGCTGCCATTCCCAGAATGCCTTGTGTTTTTATTCATTAAAGAGGAACCTCAGCCTTTCCCCTCCCCCTAATTTTTTTTCTCTCCTGCTTACATGACACTGTGTTCTGCACAGTAACGGTACTTACCAAGCCAGTGGATCCAGCAATGTCCTGCTGGGATCCCAGTCTCTGCAGCTGCTACACAGGTCCAGCACCGCCATGTTGCCTTCTGACAGCTGCCAGCTCTTGTGGGCGTATGTGCCGCGAGGCCTGCCCCATCCTCCTTTACTGAATGGAACTAGTATAGTGCCCCCAGTGCATCCTGGGATAAGCATCTCATGCACTGGGAGCACCAATATAATTTGCCTAGGTGAATGCCGGAGGATGAGGGGCAGGCTGAGACCTTTTTTGAGAACAAAAGAGCAAGTAACAAAAAAAAAACAGACTGATATCCGTGCTGCGGAGTCAGGACGAGATGAGAAGAGGAGAGTACTATGACAGGTTGAAGATCCACTTTAAATACAAGGCATTCTCTGATTGGAAAAGGTGGGAAGGAGGGGTGGTGACATCATGAGGTGTCAGAAGGGCAAAAAATTAGAAAATCTCCTCAATGTGGTCACATACAGAAATAAAAACCTAACAGAGTGTTTAAAGTGATTCATTGCTTTGTGTAATGGTTTTACACAGAGCAGCCCTGATCCTCTTCTTTTTGAGTCCCCTGCCAGTGGTCCTGGCTTTTTCCCCCTGCTAAGTGCCCCCAATTGCAAGCCTCTTGCTATGGGGGCACTCGAGCAGACTCGCTCCTGAGACATTGTCCATTCACACACAAAGAACAGCTTGACCCCTCCCTCTGTTCTCTCCTCATTGGCTCACTGACTTTGATTGATAGCTGCAGGAGCCAATGAGGAAAGAGAGTCCAGGACAGGTGAGTTTCCTATACACATTGCTGAATCAGGATGGGGCTTGGGTAAGTATAAGGGGGGCTGGGGGGGAAGCTGCCCACCGAAGGTTTTTTTACCTTCATGAATAGAATGCATGAAGGTAAAAAAAAAAACCTTCTGCCTTTAATTCTGCACTACACTATACAGAACTAAAAAAATTGAATTTTGACTGGAATGAGGCTTTAAAGTGGAACTAAAACCTTTTTTTTCAATGCAAGCAAGCAGACAGTTTATTGCAGAAGAGACATGCAATGGGTCTGGGTCTGTTTTCACTAATCAGTTTGGTGTCTACTTCCTGATACTGAATTATAGATGTGTGCAGAGTATCTAACTTTGTGCTCCTAACAGCATTGCGAGTTCTATCTGCTTAATCTGGTGTGTCAGAGGGGCTGAGGTTGTCTACAGAGTTGAGGTAAAGAACAAAAGAACCCATATTATCAAGCAGCTCCTTGGGGGGTAGCACTACTACAGTTGATTGTAGCAAGGAACAATAACTGTAATAGCAACTACACACTGTATATGCAGTGGTGCATGCTTGTTATACTCACTGAGGAACCTAAGGGGTTAAAACTCCATGTTATGTAAGAAGGCTGTTTGATCCTCTCTTCTGTGATCCTCCCCTTCTTCCACAGTCCCCAATCCATCAGCTGATAGCACAGAGCTCTAAGAGTCACTCTGCACATGCCCAGTCTGGTGTGGATTGCTAGAGAGTTATTTTTAGGAGGGGAGGGAAGGTGCATGTGATCATCACAGGGCCAATCAGCACTGTCAAGACAGAGGGTCAGAGGTCATGCAACCTCAAAGGACAGTCAGAGGAAAATGAAAACTCCTTCTACAAAAAAAACCCAGTGCTCTGCTTAACACTGATATAAATCACAAGACTGCTCTAACTGCTGATGAGAAAAGGTATTTATCAATTTATATTTCCTAAAATATTTGCATTGCCATGTTCTGTGTACTGTGGGAGACCAGATATAGTGAATAGAGATGAGCGAATTATTCAAAAATTCGATTCGGCTGATTCGCCGAATTTGTGGAATAAATTCGATTCGATGCAAATTTATTCGCTGCGAATTTAACTTATAAAAAGGGTTTCTAGGCTTCAGAGAGCCTTTATATTAGTGCAGAACACTGTACCTTTAATTTAAATGCCCTTGGAGTCTGCTGGGGAAGAGAAATAATACTGTCAGTCAGTATGACATGCAGATGAGTGCCATCGATCTTAGAATCACCGCACACTTCACTCATTTGGGCAGTCACGGGGCCAAAACCAGAGTGTGGAGCCACAGTGTGGCGGTGGAGGCAGCAGCAATGGGAGGCCATACAGCACCCTATGACAAAATGGAACCCACCAGCAGTGTGAGGAGACCTGAAAGTGGCACATGGCAGAGTGTGGCGATGGAGACAGCAGCAATGGGAGACCGTACAGGGACCCATGACATACTCTGGACCTGGCAGCAGCATGAGGAGGCGTACAGGGGCCCATGGCAAGAAGAAGAAGAAGAAGATGAGGATGAGGATGAAGAAGAAGAAGTAGGATGAGGATGAAGAAGAAGAAGTAGGATGAGGATGAAGAAGAAGAAGAAGAAGAAGTAGGATGAGGATGAAGAAGAAGAAGAAGAAGAAGAAGGAGTAGGATGAGGATGAAGAAGAAAGAAGAAGAAGATGAAGTAGGATGAGGATGAAGAAGAAGAAGTAGGATGAGGATGAAGAAGAAGAAGAAGAAGAAGTAGTAGGATGAGGATGAAGAAGAGAAGAGGAGAGGATGAGGATGAAGAAGAAGAAGTAGGATGAGGATGAAGAAGAAGAAGTAGGATGAGGATGAAGAAGAAGAAGAAGAAGTAGGATGAGGATGAAGAAGAAGTAGGATGAGGATGAAGAAGAAGAAGAAGAAGTAGGATGAGGATGAAGAAGAAGAAGAAGAAGTAGGATGAGGATGAAGAAGAAGAAGAAGAAGAAGAAGAAGAAGTAGGATGAGGATGAAGAAGAAGAAGAAGAAGTAGGATGAGGATGAAGTAGAAGAAGAAGAAGAAGTAGGATGAGGATGAAGAAGAAGAGGAAGAAGAAGAAGAAGTAGGATGAGGATGATGAAGAAGAAGAAGAAGAAGAAGAAGAAAGAGGATGAAGAAGAAGAAGAAGAAGTAGGATGAGGATGAAGAAGAAGAAGAAGAAGAAGTAGGATGAGGATGAAGAAGAAGAAGAAGAAGTAGGATGAGGATGAAGAAGAAGAAGAAGAAGAAGTAGGATGAGGATGAAGAAGAAGAAGAAGCAGAAGAAGTAGGATGAGGATGAAGAAGAAGAAGAAGAAGTAGGATGAGGATGAAGAAGAAGAAGAAGAAGTAGGATGAGGATGAAGAAGAAGAAGAAGAAGAAGGATGAGGATGAAGAAGAAGAAGAAGTAGGATGAGGATGAAGAAGAAGAAGAAGAAGATGAGAAGAAGAAGAAGAAGTAGGATGAGGATGAAGAAGAATTCCATTCCAGCAAAAAGTGTATCTGCAGAGAGCTCCGCTATTTCTGACAGTTCTCTGACAGTTCCTTCACATTTACAGCGGTTGAAACATTGT